CCCAAGAAACAGCAACAGCTCTCACAATCATCCATGACACAGATTAAAAACCAACTCTTGGCCGATGCCACAAGGCAGCGTATGTCTAAAAGCGTACACTCTGACCAATGACATATTTTGCTTACATGAGAACAGGCCAGATGGAAGTTGTGAACTTGAATAACAATTCACTTGATTTCGACGGCGTGTCCCCTGAACTAGGCATGCGGCTTCTGTCACTGTTCTGGAACCGCCAGTATTATTCAGGGACTATAGTATATCGCCCAGCATTCATGAGGGACATGGCCTGCGGAGGTCGATATTTCTCAAAGCTTCTGCTGAATGCTATTTATTTCGGGGCATCCAAGAGTCTTAACAGGCCGGAGGACGTGGAATGCAGTGGCCCCAGTGGTCAACGGGGCTGGTCATTTCGAACTAAATTTGAGAATTATCTCCATGCCTCCAACTCGGAAGCCCTTTGGAGGAGCGAGGTCACCACGATACAAGCCCTGTTGATTGTCTCAGACGCCTTGTTCACGTGGTGCGATGAGAGGAGTCTGTCATGGCACTATATAGGAATCGCTGTGAATATGATTGTTGATCTTGGCATCCACGTCGATGGATCAGCTGGTTTACGTTCAAAGGAGAGCTGCTCTCCAGAGGATATAGAAGTTTATCGCCGATTGTTTTGGTCGGCCTATGGTGAGTTTCCTGACAGCTTACAATCTTCACATGGCTAACTTCGGTCCCGTCAGCTATTGATAAGGTACAATCAATTTACCAAGGCCGGCCTTCCCGGCTGAAAGATATCGATAACAGCGTACCAATACTTTTCTTGGATGAATATGAAGAGTATGAACTCTTCAGTACACTGACCTATTCGGCAACTCCACAGCAACTCTCCCGCCCGACTTATGCAGTCTCAACTTTCCGAGAACTATGCCAACTCAGCATTATCATGGACCGGATTATTCAGAGCATATATTCCGAAAAGGGTTCCTCAACAAGCCCGGCTGAACTTTCCAACACTCTGCAGTCCATTCAGACAGCACTAGAAAACTGGCGAATGAGTCTGCCTACTCACCTGTCAATCCAGCTTGACAGTCCTGCCATCACATCCGTGCTTCCACACACGCTCTCATTATTGTAGGTTGGAGGGCATTTCCATTTCATGAGCATCATGGCTGACGGTTAGCTAAGATCCATGTATAACTCCATGGTCATTCTGCTGCATCGACCATTCGTTTCAGACGGGCATCTCAAGTCTACCTCATCGGCGGCAGGACAAGCCTTTTCATATTGTGCGACTGCTGCAATGGAAATAGACAAAATTCTGCAGCTCTATCAAATGCATTTTTGTATGTCGACAACGCCTTACTTTGTGTCCTATGCGACATATGTGAGTGCCACAATACACGTACGCATAGCGGCTCAGAGGCAGTCGGATTCTGCCGCACACAAATGCCTTCAGAGGTGTCTGGATGCATTGGGGGAGCATCAAACTGTTTGCCACGCACCGCGGCAGACAATACGGATACTTAAGGGCCTTATTCTACGTCTGGGTGTTAAGATGAGCCATTTTCCTGAGCCTGTGAGCCTTGATTGCTCAAACGCCAACCTGCCGACGGCCTCGATGCGTGAGAGACCCGCGCAAACACCGCGTATCGATCATCTGCGGTCACCTCCAGACTCTCGGTCCGGGATCTGCGAAGATAATTCTGTGCCGGGATTCACGGACCTGGATATTGATGAAGTGATGAGAAGCTTCGCTATGAATTCGACGGATCCGCTACTTTCTTCTGGCGCCGAGGGACAGGCATTGCCGGTACTTCAAAACGTGGATGAAGGGGAAAGTAATCTGGATATCGACTCTTTCCTATCTTTCGATCCCCTCTTCGGGTTTAACAACCTTTTTTGAGGCTAGACTCCGTGCTGGGCCCCAGGACAACTCTCTGCCAATTCACACTGGTACGCCTTGCCCAGTTTGAAAGTGTTGTTCCGGATATGATAGCCATCACACGCGCTGAGAAGTAAGGATAAAATGTTATCTTCCTTCTCCATAGTCCTAACCGAGCCAAGCCTGTACTTCGATAATTGAAACGCAACAACGTTCAGCAGTTTAGCTTGAAGTGGCTAGATCTTAACAGAACATTTCAGTGCCCGGGGGTCAAGCGGGCGGCCAAGAGCACTTAAAACCCGAGATATCGTGAGATTATGAAGGCTTCGGGAATAAGATACTGAAATTGCGTCACGTGGATGGGTTCTTGCACAATATTCAAGGGCAGGGGAACATGGAATATAACACTACGCTTGCGTGATTTCGGTGGATTCTTGCACACTTTATACAAATAAGGCAACGTCCGCCAGCATGTCAGCTTTGCGTGATTTGCCTAGAGTATTGTAAATTACATAGTAATTAGTAGCGATCAGAACTAATAGAAGACCCTGTTTCAGTCTAAATCGCGGTACAATATAATTGACTGTCGCTGGCAGTCAACCGCCCATATTGGGAAAGCTTTTTCCTTTTCACTTGTATATACTTGCAAGTTTCCTCTTCTTTGCCCGACAGCCTAATTTAAACCATATTAGAATATCAGGTTCCGCTCGAAGGGAAAATGGCACATCCTGATTCTAAGGGGGCACCAGATATAGCAATCGATGGCGATGGTATAGAATCAAGCGAAACTCCGAACAGCGTTCACAATGACGCGGGCACTGACCGAGCTGCCTTTCTCGCCACTTTTAGTGCGGAGGAGGATAAAGCAATTATGCGGAAGGTTGACTGGAGATTTCTATGGCTGATAGGTGTGATTTATCTCATCAAGAACGTACGTTTCTCCAAAGCAACAAGAACAAGATCTGTGTCTCTGACTTGAATTCGAATTGGCAGGTTGATTACACCAATGCTGCCTCAGTCAAAGTGCTTCAAGTAGGCCAACCTACAAATGTTCTCATACAACTCGGCATGACAGATAACGAGTACAATTGGGTTCAGTCGATATACTTTGTAAGAAAACTTTCGTCCAAATACCCATCCGGGAGCTAACTCCTCAAAGATCAGTTACATCATTTTTGAGGTCCCGAGCAATCTCGTGCTCAAGAAAATGCAACCCCGAAACTGGCAATTCCGAATCATGCTCACATGGGGCGTGGTGCTGGCCTGCCATGCGGCTGTGAAGAACAAGGAGGGTTTGTACGCCGCCCGGTTCGTCCTCGGCATGATGGAGGCCGGGATGTTCCCTGGTATTGCCGCACAACTCTGCTCGTGGTATCGCTCGGATGAAATGGGCAAACCAATCATGTGGATGTTCGCCTTTTCCAACTGCTCAGGCATTGTGGGCTCGCTCCTCGCTTACGGCATTTCATACATGGACGGACTCCAAGGTCTGAGCGCTTGGCAATGGGTCTACCTTCTCGAAGGCATCATCACCATCCTATTCTCAGGGGTGGTATATTTCGTCCTGCCCGATTATCCCAAGTCGCCCCGCTCTAGTTCCTGGCTCACGCCCAGAGAACAAGAATATCTCGAAGCCAGACTTTCAGAGAACGCGCCCAGGACCGGTGATGCAACATTCAGTACCTCGGAAGTCATCGCCTCGCTACGTGACCCGCGAATCTGGTCCTTCATGCTCTCCCAGATTCTCATCAACCTTGGCGGCTACGGTCTGAGTTGGCAACTCCCCACGGTCACTACGAGTCTCGGCTTCGCCGGCCTCCCGAGAAACCAGCTGCTCAACATCCCACCCGCCGGTTGCTCTGTGCTCGCCATCATCTTCGCTGGCTGGTTCATGAAGCGCGCCTACGTTACCCGCCCCGCGTTCATCATGGTCATCTGCGCCGGGTGCCTGGCCTTCTTCATCGTCCTTGCCTCGACGCGGGATAAGTATGCAGTCTATGTGGCGTGCGTCTTCGGGACAATGTTTTACGCGGTGTTCTTCATCCCGTTCTGGGCATGGCGCTCGGCCACGCTGGTGGGCTCGACCGGAACGGCTTTCACGCTCGCGTTCCAGTCTAGTGTCGGCCAGGTTGGTGGTGTTATCGGCCCCCAGATGTTCCAGTCCAAGTACGCCTATAACGGCTACAAAGTCCCCTTTGCAATTTGTTCAGCGGCGATTGGAGGCGGGTGGCTAGCGAGTGCACTTACTTGGTGGCTGACGAGGAATGTTGAGTGGGATGTGAGGCGCATTCGAAGGCTGAGGATCAAGGCTGAGAGGGAGGGTAGAGTTTTCGCTGATGATGACGTGCAGGTTATCAATGAGAGGAACTTTTATGGGAAGGGGTTGAAGAGAGATGAGGAAGCCGCTTTATAGATATAATGGATGTCAGCGTGAACACATTGAGGGGAAGCCAGTCTTTGTCAAACCGCCGTTGAGCTATCCTATATTGCGATCCAACGTACCTTTTCATCCTTTCGTTGACGACATGAAAAAGAATACATTGAGGCCTTAAATTCCAGGTTGATTCATCAGAAGCATTCCCTCCACCTAAGCTAATCAGAACTCCTCTTCCGTTTTTTTTCTTCATGTCCAATATCTTTTTTTCACAGAGCTTTCGCGAAAACGCGCGGTATCGTACCTATCAACTTCAAACTCCTCCACAGCAGTGATCAACTCATTATAGTTACAATGTGCAGGTAGGCCACCAGCACTGGCTAGACTTGGCTTGGATCAAATCTCTATTGGGATCCAGAGAACCTACTCCCACGGATACCATCCACTAGTTTTAAACCCCAATCGAACGGGGCACGCCCGCAACAATCTCGGAGATCGAGGTCTGCACCAGGGTTTATCAGCAGAGCAGCCAAATCTGGTGGAGCCATATGAAGCATCTTCGCCGTTCGACTAGCGGCCAACCGCGAATTGGGTTTCACATGTACGAACTACCTGAGGATACGATATTTCTAGTTCCCCAGCTTGACCCTGTTAAACTTGGGAATTGAAAGTTTCTTTCTAGTAAAATATAGCCTTGCTTGTCTTGTTGGTGGCAACAACAATCTGACATACATTCTTCCCCTGTCTCATCTAATTTGCCGACCTCTCTACTTCTTCCTTCGCGAGTCTGTATGCTTCACGAATCTCTTCCCCAACTTCGAGTTCACGATTTGTGATCATATCACCAGCCTTCTTCTGGAGCTGTTCAAAAAATCCCTTTGCTTCTTGCAACCTCTTTTTATGCTCGTCCCGCATCCACTTTTCGTACCTATACTGGCTCAATTTTACTTCATACACCTTGATCTGAGAGTCCAACTTAGCTGATTCGCTGCTAAGCTCCTTGACGCAAGCTTCGTGCTCCACCATCAGATCGACCACGTCCCTTATTTCATCTTCGTACCCCTCGATGTCATCTTGGTACTCCTCAATAAGATCTTCGCCCTCCTCGATCCGATAGTCTAATTCAGCTAAATTGTCGCTGCTGACCTCCTCAACACTATCTTGACACTTTTTCCTCTCATCGTGCAAGTCAGATAGCTCGTGCCTAATACCATCAATAGCTGCCTCGAGCCGCATCGTCAGATCGTGCTTGTCATGCAAGTCGTCGTCGAGCTCCTCAATATCATCTTTGCGCTCCTTGATCAGATCGTTCTTTTCAGCTAATTTGCTGCTGAGATCCTTGATGCTATCTTCCGACTGCTCAATCAGATCGCCAAGTTCAGCTGATGCGAGGCTGCCCTGCCCAATCGCATCTTCGCAATGCATGGCCTCGCCTTTATGCAGCTCGAGTTTTTCTATTAACTTTCCGCGCTCCTCCTCCCACCTCTTTCCTATGATCTCGCACTTTTCAGCCGTTCTATCCTCCACCTGCTTGGAGATCAGTCGCTTCTTCACGGCCTCTGTGACTTCCTGCACCAGAGGCGCTTTTTCGGTCTCTTCATGTTTGAGCCCACCCTTCTCAATTTTGTCCTGAGTAATCTGTGTCATATTTTGATGATAATCGGCGACGCTGAGACTTCCTTCTTCCTCATCTGCTGCTTGGACTTTGTACTTCGATTTATCTGGGGATCCAGGTGCTTGTTTTTGACATACTTCCTCGGCGAGGGCCTCTTCCAGTAGACCCAGGATATCAGGGCTAGATGGACTCATTGTCACAAGATGATCGAGAGCGGCGCAAGTCAAAAGTGTAAAAGGTACGATTCGTGCTGTCAAAGCGGTTGAAAGGATATGAACAACACAAGCCAGCTTTCAACCAGCAGTCAGAGGCTTTCGTTATATACTCACGTTCGAAAGAAATGCCCCACTACTAGATGTGCCCTTTGTACAACTGCTGGTATTAAGGTTAGAGATTTCCAATGGGCCTGTGTTCTATGACTCGCTGTGTTAACCCTACATTATCCAACCATGTTTCCAGTAACAGGCGGAACGGCATCGCTAAAGTTTAGATAACTGTTTCTCTTATTTAAACCTGCAGTACATAACTGATCAATCTGTTATAGCAAATTGCTTTCACAAAAGCCAAACACAAATGCATCATTAGTGCCTTTTCCGCGGCCAGGAAACAAGGGACGTGTGAAGACAAAGGGAACTGTATAAAGCGCCCGGTTTGATTAAACCGGAGACGCGGTCCTAGCAATTGTGCTTGAAAAGAAACAAACACCACCTACGCCGAAACATTCGCACGCCGTGTTTCTAGATACCAAATAGGCCCTCAATAGATTGGGTAGCCAAATGCGGGACATCGAAGCCAACAGGAGCGAGGCAGCGGTAGTGCAAACCAGGAGCTTATGCCAGTTCGCGTGTGGTAGACTTGTAGCCAGATTGATTGATTTCGGAATTATAGTTGAAGAAATTAACATGCTTTTACGTCAATTTATGAGTTGATTATAAACACTAATACTGATTAACCTTCCGCATATGTGAAGTCCATTGTCACCGTTTCAGCCACATGCCAATCTTCTTTCTTATTCGCATCCCCTCCCCGACGCAATGCTTGAAAGACAAACTTGTATCGCCCTGCGGGAACATAGGTTCCATTGGCAATCATACCCTTCCATTGATAATACAATGTGTGTCGTGGCGCCCACAGCCATGGATACCTTTCCAGCTGCCCAACAGTATCCTGGATCTGGCCGTCGGCCGCCACTGGCACAACATTCGCCCTCACCTCAGGGGAACCAATAACAAGATTAAACCTCAGGCGTGGGAGCTCCTCAGTCGAGGTGTTTCCCGGGGCAGGGAGTGTAAATTTCGCGTTCTCGGGAACGCGGACATAACTCTTTGCGTCCCAGTCCCAGATCTCGGCGTACGTCTGGTTTTGGGGTAGCATGTCGATGTCATCCAGCCTTCCTGCGACCCCCTGATAGGGGATTGACAAGGACGTCCCGTCAGATCCGTTTACAGCTACCCAGCCGGACCAGATGGGCAGGCGCATGGGATCCAGGGGCTTGGGAGGTGCAGCATGAGCGGTAACGGTGTGCGAGGCACCACCAGCCAGGCGCACTTTGTTCTCGCTAAAAGTTAAGCCTCCAGCTTCTTGGGGTGGAAGAGAAATGTTCCCTGAGGGGAGGGCATATATGCTGACCGTAGACACATCGCTTATCTGGTACTCAACTTCCTCCTGACCTATGTTAGAAATTGTGAAGTTGAGTGATTCGATGCCACTAGCCAAGTCTTGATACGAGAGGCTGGCAGGAGTAAGAAGAGTCTTGGCATACGCAGCATCATAGGCACGAATCAGGCCAGCGCCCTGTTGAGGGACAGGGGCCAAGTAGTTTCGCACCTCTGTGAAGTTGTAAAGTTGGGGATTGGAGTAGGCGGAGAGAAGAGCTTCAAAGTCGGCGGGTGCCAGTTTCTTGCCACGGACTTCAGCAAGAATGGCGTACACTGCTGTGACCAAAGGTGCGGCCATCGAGGTGCCAGACAGGACGGCATAGCTGCCAAGATTGAGCGGGTATGTCGAGAGAACAAAGCCTCCAGTAGCACCAAATTGTGGCCTTATATCAAGATCCCAAGTTGGACCCCACGAGGTCATGACGTTGATGCTTCCAGGTCCAACCTGAGGAGCATCATCAACAGCTGCCTTTTCGCTGAGCGTTGAGATCGTCAAAGCCACCACGGTCTTTGAGCCCGCCTCTAAGTCACGAAGCCACTGTGTCCCAGTCTCGCTCGTAACCACCGATGCTGACTTGAGCCCGTCGACCCCGTATAGGTACAACTCTTGCGTACCAGCTCCGTTGTTGTAGAACAAGATATGCTTTGCGCCTTTTGCGGTAGCAAACTTGGCCTTTTCTACCTCGGTGCAATCGCCAATCGATAGTAGCACGACAAACTTGCTCAAATCAGGTGTTGTGTCTGGGTATGAAGCACAGCCAGAGTTGTTGCGACCTGGACTCCATAGCGGCAGACTGACATTCTCAACAGGCTTGATATTGCTCAGCTCATAGGTGAACGCGACCTCCTCCCCACCGTCAACAGTGAACACAGACTTATCGACTATCTTCTTGAACTCAATATTGTTGAAAGCGGCGACGGCAATGGCGCCTTTCCCGCTCGGTCCACTGCTGGCATAGAACGGACCGGTGGTGCCATCGTTCCCTGCAGACATGATGCAGGGGACTCCCTTCTCGACAATGCGAGAGGCCGCGGTAGCCCAGGCGCCGCCAGCCCATCCGGATGCCTCCCCAATAGAGGAGCTGATGACGTCCGCGCCATCCTCGTATGCTTGATAGAGAGCAGCGATGAGGACATCGGTCGTTGTGTGGCCCTGGCAGCCAAAGACTTTGTACATGCCGAGCGTGGCATCCGGGGCAGCACCAGTGAAGCCAAGATCGTTCTTCTGCGCGGCAATGATCCCGGAGACGTGCGTGCCGTGTCCTGTGCAGTCCATCGGATCCGAGTCGGGAACTGGCTGGTTCTCCCCAGTAAAGGCATCGCCCGTTAGATCACGCCCGAAAGATACCAGGCACCCTTCCCCAAAGCAACCTCCAAGTGCCGGATGCTTGTAGTCAACCTGAACCATCGGTGAGCCCCCATTCCATCCTCAGGAATATTACCAAAGCAACTCACTCCTGTGTCTATAAGGGCAATTTTGACACCCTTTCCCGTGTAGCCCTCAGCTCGCAACTTGTCAACCTGGGTCATCACATGGGGCCCGAAAGTGTCAGAGCCATTGTCCTGTCGCTTTTCAAGATCCTGGGGACCAGGCTTGCCGCTCGAATGAACCGTTACATTAGGCCTCGCGTGCTCCCTAATGGGCCAGACATTCTTGACAGTCGCTGTGGAGGCGATTGAGGAAGCTCTCGAGTCAGCATGGTCATTCTCGGTCCCCTTGAGCTGCACTGCTATGCCTTTGAACAATGAGAAGTCAAAGGTTCGGCTAATCTCGTCGCTGGAAACGGCAGAGTGCGAAAACGTGGACAGGTCCTAGTTGGTATTCGGTATCAGCGCTGAGGGCCTTGATGTCTTCTCCTGAGTCAATTGCCAACCTGGTTGTCATCCAGCTCAATGATGTAGGCCCCTGGAACATGTCGCCATTCCTGATTGTCCGTCGCAAGGGCAATTGATGTGACGGAAAGGACTATCCCAAGAATGATATTGAGACCCATCTCGAAAATCTCCCGCACAGGTCGCAGGATAGAATCGTCCCAGTCGAGCCACTGGGGGAGGAAAAGAAACGGTTGTAGCCATTTTCTTATACCGCAGATCGCAATAAGAATCTCCACGGTGGGTATTGGGCCAGCGCAGAGGGACGGTGCGCATGGCTGAGCCTGCAGATCTCGCCCCAGATGGTGGACACGAGAAGCACAGACAGGGATGTCGAGGATTGATGACCTCGTGTTCCTGCATTATTTCTGGTCGGCGATGCTGAGCACTTCTCCTGTTGGCTGGGGAAACGCTGGAACCCTTGATACTGCATAACTGAGCATCGACACCGCATGTGAAGGCCGAGACAGTGTAGCCCGGGCGTTTCATCAATCTCCCGATCCTTGCTTGTTCCACAGCTTCCCGTATTCCGGATCAGCGGACAATTGGGTGAATGGGTGAGCCACAGAGATAGAGTTAGCGCTGAGGTGAACTCCCCGAGCTTTCCGTAAGAGCTCAACGGTCCCATGATTAGTAGGACATCATCCTCGTGTTGAGCAGTATCACCATCTCTCGTTGGCCTTCTTCTTCTTGGCTTGGCTTTGTTGTTAATAAGCTGACATGATTCATGCCCGTCTTATTCCCATACGCGTCAAGCGCGTCTGTGCCACGTTGACACATGGAAATCATCAAGGATGCATCATCGTTAGAAACTTGAATAGGCTCTTCTGCAATAGCGCAATAGGGCAATAGGGCAACATGTTGCCAAGATGCAAAGGCCATTTCTGGCAACGTCCACTGCAGCTCTACACCCGTAGGCTTCTCCCCACAGCCAACCGCAAGCACACCGCCGCGAGGATGTCGGACAAGGGTTTGGTGACCAAAACCCAGGTACAATCCAAATATCCCGGCGTCGACATCAATTTACGAGATCACCCAGGGCGATATGAAAGTCACTATTCCGTCGGCTGCCACCCAAACGTCGGGGGGATTGAATCGCCCATCCTGCCCATGAGAGAAGTGGGCATGATGTTGCTGATGGACAAGCTGACTGACAAACCCGAGTGGTTCAAGAAAGTCTTTGATGACAAGATTGTTGAGAAATGGCGAAGAGAGTCGCAGACTCAATCCGAAGATGCCTTGTTTGCCGCTATCATGAGGGACAAGATGGACGCACCGGTCCCTCAGCCCAAAAGGATCATCTCCGAAGCCGCTTTTGATTTTGTGAGTACCTGACCTGAGTCGCAGAATGTCTCAGTCCTGATGACCAAACATCATCGAGCTTGTATAAGCTTACTCCTTTGAAGTGTATTGCAGAACTGCGCAGCAAGGCCAAATACTATGCTCAATCGAAGCTCATCCCTATACTTGATTCCAGCTTCAACACCGTCGTCAAATCAGATGAACTAGTGTCGAATACTCTTCATCAAGACATACATGCTTCTTTTCAGCAGCTGCTCGCAGATCAAGCTGCGTGCCCCGACTGGCACCCGAACAGCAATGACACAGTTCAAGATCTCGTTCACCCATCCATGTACCCTTTCGTATACGGTGAGCCGATATTACCAATTGTTCCCATCCTTGCTCAGGACAGTTGCTAACGTCTGTCTCAGGTCGATCAAAGTTTATCCATGATGAAGTCGTTGGCGTACACAATGCCATGAGTTTCATTGGGCAAGGCCAGATCGTGCCCAAGAACACTGACAGACCTACATTAGAAGGGGTTCCACGCAATGAGCTGTACCATTATTCGCCTGGTGGCATAAAGATCAATCCCGAATATTGGTCAAACACTTACCAGTGGCTGCCGGCGAATGTGGCCTTCAGGGACGACGGCAAGCCCGAATTCACTAGCTATATCAACGGACTACGGCCCGACAAATACCCAGATATATACAAGACAGTTGAAAGATTACTAGATGCTGTGATCCCAGCGTGGGATCAATGCCTTACAGAAATATCTGGTCGCGACAGGCATTCATCAGGCAGAAGAAGTTCCAGGTTCGAATGGATTAGAGAAGCAAAGTGAGTTTTTTCCTCATTCAGCACCAAAAGAGGAGTCTATTGGAGGATTTGATATTAACAAAAAGAAAAGTGATGAGAATGATAGTTTGTGGAGCCCCTTTGATGTTGAATTCTGGAAGGCCTCAGACTACAGGCTACCTCTAGACAGCTTGATAGAGCTAAATCAGGAAGAGAAGCTGGAAAAGGAGGGGGAATGCCTCACAAGTGAAGAGATGGACGAGGAGTACCGCCTATACGAACAAGGTCTACCTCCTTGCGTCGCCTATGTTGACCCGGAGAAGCTGGCTCGGGAAAAATGGCGACAGTGCCGCGAAGCAGTTCTACCAGAGCCAAAGGGCTTCACGGAAACTGAATACGTGCCAAGGCAGAATTTGCGTGAGAAGTTCAGAGAAAGTGGCCTTCAAGTCATTGTAAAGATGGCCAGCATAGAATTAACACCAGACAAACCTGACTTTCCCGCAGGGGGCTGGCATGTAAGTACTACCACTTGTCTTCTCCAACTCTTTACCACGACGCCGAAATCGGATTTCTAATACGGTTATTACGCCAATAGATTGAAGGGCAGATGAACGAGAGAATCTGCGCCACAGCTCTCTATTATGTTGATTGTGAGAATGTCACATTCAGTCATCTGTCCTTTTGTATGGCGACAGATTCATACCTCGATGATTCTATAAATTATGAGGCAAGCGCATTCAACTGGCTCGAAAGGGTCTATGGAACAGGGCTACATTGCGGTGATGCGGAGTCTTCGGCCAATATACAACAATACGGCACTGTTGAAACGCGACAAGGGCGAGTTCTCGCATTTCCAAACGATTTGTAAGTGTAATTTTTTGTCCAGAACATGAAATCCGATATTCCAAGTTCATTTAGGCTCATTCAATTCTCAGTCAACACGCTGTGTCCTCGTTCAGCCTCCAAGACAAGACAAAGCCCGGCCATCGACGATTCATTGCCTTGTGGCTCGTCGACCCTCATCAACGTATTATTTCCACCTCCAACGTGCCGCCGCAACAGAAGGAGTGGTGGCTTCAACACCAAGATGAAAGAAACACCATGTCTTCTCAAACCATCCCGGAAAGCCTAATGACCGTTGAAGAGGCTAAGGAGCACCGTCTCAAGTTGATGGAAATACGAACGCGCGTCGATAAGATATCAGAATTTGGTATGCCCGGTTATAATTTCTGTGAGCATTGAGGAAATTTATGGGTTTAAGACCCGGTTGTAGAAATAAAAATGATGTCACTATTGTATCCAAGATTGTCTGCTCTATTACGAGGACTCAGACGCCTTCTTCTTGATAACAATGACCACTCCAGTCGCCAGCGACCACAACTTCTCCTTGCCCTTCTCCACACCCGCTTCGTGAAGGAGTGTCTCAATCTCCCTACGAAGCATGCGGACGATATCCTTCTCCGTGCCGGCGGCGTCGGGATGGGCCTCGCGCCACCTAGTCACAGGACTCACAGTCCCCATAATCTTCTCAAACATATCCATGCCCGCCTCCTTCATCTGCTCCGGAATGGCATAGAACGGCTCCCCGCCCTCCCACTCCTTGCGAAGGACGGTGCTCTCATCAAACTCGTCGACCGGCTTTGCGATCGTCCACGGAAGCGGCAGGTCGACGTACAGGTTCGAACCCATAAGGTTCCCGGGCTCGTAGAACGGCAGCAGATTCTCGCGGTTCTTCTTCAGAGCGGCCGCGATGGCCTTGGCGTTGGGCACGTCCGGGTGCGGGCCGGCCTCCCCGCTCACCCAGATGGCGACCGAGCCGCCCGGCTTGAGCACCTTGGCCGCCCGGGGCCAGAACCGGTCCATGTCGAACCAATGCGCGCAGGTCGAGGCGGTGATGAGGTCAACGGAGGAGTCTGCGATTGGGGGGTCAATGTTGCTGCCCAGCTCCTCTGCAGACGATATCTCAAAACGGATGGCTTTGTCGGCGCTGGGGATGGACCTGGCTGTGGTGATCATGCCTTCGGAGGGGTCGAGCCCGATGATATTGGTAAAGCGCGGCGCGAGGTGGCGAGCGGCCTGACCAGGACCGCAGCCGAGATCGAGCAGAGTGTCGAACTTGCCCCCAGTGGACGAGTGGCGGTCAATGACGGTGTTGTACACGCTTTCATGGTAGTCGAAGCGGTATTGAGCATAGTTCTTGCCCTGCTCTTTGGTGTACCCAGTGAAGGTCTTCTCCTTCGGGGTTGGAGTTTGAGTAGATTCAGACATTATCGCGGTCAAAAAGCTGGAAAGTATCGGCGGCAACGAGAGGCAGGCGAATACAACAACACACAAGTGAGGATAAAGATGAGAAATACGGAGGAGAAGCGATCAGGCAGCTGGTTGCCTTCTTGAACTGAAACTCGGTGACTCACCGGAAGGGAGGGGTCGCGTTGCTCGCATTCTCCCCAATAGAGCCTAGGATGACGATTACTTTAGTAATATATTTAATATAGAATATATTTATAGTAATTAGTATATATTATAAGTTAATATATAGAATATTAACTATATTATATCTCTATATATAACTTAGTATAATAATTAAGAGAAGTAAAATAAGTATATAAAGGTAGTTTATAATATTTAGTCTTCTTAAGTTTTCTATTTATATGATAGCTTAATTTTATTTCCTTTATAAATCTTATATTATTATTCTTAATATAATTTAGTTAATAGCTCTTTAAATTTATATTCCTTTAAATATTACTTTAAATCTTCCTTAAAGATAAAGTATTAATTAATATTAAATAGTTTATTTATAAAATAAAGTATTTATTTATTAATATACTTAAAAAGTATCTTTTTATTTAATTAAGGAAAAGTATTATTTTTTAGTTTTTATTATTAATAAATTATATAAAATATATTATAATATATTATTTATAATTTTATATAATATTTAATTCTTAATATATTCCTTTAATAGCTTAATAACTTAAAAAAGCTATTAAAGTAATAAATAATATTAATTATCTTTTACTTATAAACTATAAATACTTATATAATAATTAGATTTTATATTTTAATTTTTAATTAATAATATATATAAACTTCTTTATATTTTATTTATATTATATTTTTTATTTATATATAATATCTTTTTTCTTTTAATATATATTCTATAAACTTATTATAATATTAAAATATTATTTTATACTTTATTAAAGAATTATATTCTAAATTAGTTTTACCTTTTTTATATTTCCTCTTTATATCTTAAAATATTTCCTTAATTTATTATTAATTTTCTTTTATTATATTAACTTCTTATTATTCCTATTTCTTTAATATTTTAATAAAAATAAATATAAATAATATAGAAAATTTAAAAGTTATTATATTTATAATAATTCCTTTTTAAGTCCCTTTTTAAATTATCTTTAAGGTTTTATTCTTAATTTTCTTAATTATTCCTAATTATCTTTTATCTTTCTTAATAAGCTTTTAATTATATTACTTTTTAGATTTTAAATATTAAAGAAAGATATATTTTATTTCTTTATAATTATAATATTTCCTTTTTTTTATAATCTTTAACTCTATAAAGCTTATATATACTTTAAATTTAATAAATAATAAAAGAGTTTATTATATTCTTTAATTAAATTTATTTATAAACTTAATATAATTTTAATTATTATATTTATTCTCTTTTTATTATTTTTATTTATATAAATAATTATTAATCTTTATTATATTTACTATATACTTAAATAAATTATCTAATTTTTTAAGTTTATAAAATTAATCTTTTATTTCTTTCTTTAGCTTATTATAAAATACTATTTTAAAAGGTTTATTATTTTAATTTAATTAAATTATAACTTTTTTAAACTTAATAGTATATTTTAATATAAATCTTACTTACTTAAGATCTTTAAGATTTTTAATAACTTATTATTCTTTATTTACTATATTAAATATAAAGGTAATTATTATAATAAAGTTAATATAATCAATAAAGATATTAATAATCTCTTAATCTTTATTCTTTAATTTAACTTTATTATTATATTAATCCTTTAAATAAACTTAGAATTATTATTTTATAGTATTAATAAAGTATATTTCTATATATTTAATTTATTCCTTTTTACTTTTAAGCTTTATTAAAAAGAACTTAAAATATATTTAAAGTTAAAGCTTAAACCCCTTTAATTCTTTAATATTTTTAAAGAAAGGTCTTAAAAAAGTTAATTAAATAACTTCTCCTTAATCTCTTATTTTCCTTTTCTTAAAATAATTAATTTATATAATAAGGTTTTATATTATCTCTTAAGTAATTAATCTTATTAAAGTATTATTAATAAATATAATAAAAGCTATAATATCTTCTTTATTATTATATAATAATTAAAATAAGATAATTAGCTAAATAAGAGTTATTAATATATAATAAGTAATTAACTTATATTAAATAAGGTTTAAGATAAGTTAAGGTTAAATTAATTAAAGTATTATTTTAAATAATATAATTAAGTTATTTAAGTACTATATAAATTATTATTAATATATAAGTATTAAGGAGTTAGTTTTAATAAAAGTAGTAATAATAATATTAATAACTATTTAAGAGAGTTCTCTTATTTAAGAAATAAATATATATATATATTACTTATAAAGTATTAAGAGTATATTATTTTTAATTAACTTATTAATTTTATAATAAGAGTATATTACTCTTATTACTTTAATCCTAAAGTAGGTCTATATATAACTATATAATTTATTTAAGAGGCTTTTATTTATAATATTAAGAAAGAGAAAATAAAAGATTAAGGAGAAGTTATTTAATTAACTTCTTTAAAACCCTTCTTTAGAAATATTAAAAAGTTAAAAGGGTTTAAACTTTAGTTTTAAGTATATTTTAAATTCTTTTTAATAAAGCTTAAAGATAAAGAGAAATAAGTTAAGTATATAAGAATATATCTTACTAATACTATAAAATAATAATTCTAAGTTTATTTAAAAGATTAATATAATAATAAAGTTAAATTAAAGAATAAGAATTAAGAGATTATTAATATTCTTATTAATTATATTAACTTTATTATAATAATTACCTTTATATTTAATATAATAAATAAGAAATAATAAGTTATTAAAGATCTTAAAGATCTTAAGTAAATAAGATCTATATTAAGATATATTATTAAGTTTAAGAAAGTTATAATTTAATTAAATTAAAATAATAAACCCTTTAAAATAATATTTTATAATAAATTAAAGAAAAAAGTAAAAAACTAACTTTATAAACTTAAAAAACTAAATAATTTATTTAAATATATAATAAATATAATAAAAATTAATAATTATTTATATAAATAAAAGTAATAAAAAAGGAATAAATATAATAATTAAAATTATATTAAGTTTATAAATAAATTTAATTAAGAAATATAATAAATTCCTTTATTATTTATTAAGTTTAAAGTATATATAAGCTTTATAAAGCTAAGGATTATTAAAAAGGAAATACTATAATTATAAAAAAATAAAATATATTTTTCTTAATATTTAAAACTTAAGAAGTAATATAATTAAAAGCTTATTAAAGAAAGTAAAAAATAATTAAAAATAATTAAGAAAATTAAAAATAAAACCTTAAAAATAATTTAAAAAAAGACTTAAAAAGGAATTATTATAAATATAATAACTCTTAAATTTTCTATATTATTTATATTTATTTTTATTAAAATATTAAAGAAATAGAAATAATAAAAAGTTAATATAATAAAAGAAAATTAATAATAAATTAAGAAAATATTTTAAAATATAAAAAGGAAATATAAAAAAAGTAAAATTAATTTAAAATATAATCTTTTAATAAAGTATAAAATAGTATTTTAATATTATAATAGATTTATAAAATATATATTAAAAGAAAAAAGATATTATATATAAATAAAAAATATAATATAAATAAAATATAAAAAGTTTATATATATAATTAATTAAAAATTAAAATATAAAATCTAATTATTATATAAATACTTATAGTTTATAAATAAAAGATAATTAATATTATTTACTAAGGGGTATAAGGATAGGTGTATATTTATATATATTTATATATTTAAGAGAGATAAATAGGCTTATATTTAACTAGCCTAGCTATCTATCTCCCTTCCTTCCTTCCTTCCTCCTCTCCTCCCTAGTTATATATAACCTTAGTAGCTATCTTTATAATAAGTACCTAC